GTCACTGCACAGCACATGCAAAGACTCTGAATCACAAATCAGATCTTAAGCAACTAGCCTAAGCAGCACACAATGGGGCTAGAACATGGTTCTGGCTCCTAGGCCTTTCCTCTGGCCATTGCTTCTCCCTCTAACCCAGTTTTTCATGGACTTTTGTTCACATAGTGCAGCTGTTGACAAAAGTGTTTCTCTACCACAACGCCTGCTCCAAAAAAACACCCAGAAGGTTGCTCACAGCACCATTTACAGTGCCAAATCACTTCAAGCACAGCCACAATTTAGAAATGCAGATATGAAGTGAACAATAATTAGTGAAACAATGCAGAACTGAGGCACTAAGGCCAAGAACAATAAATTACATTAAGTTCTTCATTATCAAGACCAAAAATACTGATAAACACATTTACTGTTTAAGCTGCACCCGCTTTACACTGCTATTTATTATACCTCAGAACCCTTGGAAAACCTACTACTGTAGCTAAGGCACAAAGGACTTTCAAAATTACATTTATAATCTCTGGTTTGGAAAGAAACTTTGAAGGAGGAAAAGGCTCTACACACTAGTTGTAATTAAGAGAAAGGAGATCAAACAGTCACAGCTTTTGGAGAGGGGATAGTGAACACAGAGTGAGAAAAAACAGACTTGAACAGACTTAACCTGTCCTCCCACCTAGGAAACATGTCCCAAAGGACACTTCACAGTTCTTTTCCAGCTCCAGTAGGCCTAATGGGTCATCTCCAACCACACCATTTCTGTGGGAGCTTACATCACAAGTTTTAATAAGACATTATGATCATGACATTTGACCAGTCAATCTGGCCTGAAATTAATTATGATTTAACAGTCAGAACCACCTAGCTCTCAAGAACAGTTAAACCCAAACAGCCTCTGCAGTGACTGCTTAGTCAAGACACAGGCTGTGGCAGCACGCTTACCCAGATAGTAGATCCTATCAGAATGAGGTCCTTCAGGATCATTTTTCTTCACAAATGTGAAGTCATGAGGGGCTTTTGCCATCATGTACCCATGATACTTCCGTGTATCTGTGAGCAGTTTCCGAAGCTGGCTCCAGGAATGTCTCTCTACATAGAAAGGTTCCAGTTTTGGCTGCTCCTCTCTCTGGACCTGCTCCTCACGGCCCGTAGTTTCAAAGATTTCAAGGCCCGGCTGTTCAGTTTCCATGGCTGCTGCCATGTTGCATGTTTCTGGAAGAACAGAATAGCAGAGGTTCAGCACTGCCTTCAGCAGCCCAGCAAACATTCACTTCAGACTCCCAAAACACACCACAGCAAAAGCGCCATAAGAAAACCTCCATTTCATGTGGAGAAAAAACCACAGCAGAACGAAGAGAATGAGGAAAGAGATTTCTGCTGTGGAAAACAAGCTGCCATCACTCAGTCTTTCAGAATGGGACTAAGAACCTCACAGAGCCACACAGATTTATTGTTTGCCTTTCCCACGCCCCCACATGCCAACTACTCATTTCAGTTCATGAAGTAGATAAATTCTTCCCCATTAAGCTCCTACCTGCTTCTTCCTCCTTGTGAGCTGCATGAATATCACCTTGCTACACTAATATCAGAATGATGAGGACTGTAGCAAGATCTGGGACTGCTTAGAAGAAACGACATTAGTAGTTTATTTGGAACCACCAGGCCATACACAATGGGCCTAGGCAACTGCATGCCCTTATTTCCAATTATTCTCCTATAATTTCTTGGGTTTGTTTGCATCTCCTTTCAAACAAAGCTTGTAGGGGTCTAGCAATGATCATCACTATTGTATCACCTCAGGGATAATTACAAATACTGTACGGATAAGACTTTTCCAGACATATGAAGCAATACCAGAGGAAAGGGAACACTGAAAAAAAGCATTTTCTTAGATTTATCTGCAGCATAAGTCTTATCCTCCTGAACAGGTGGTTAATTTAGCAGATATCTCCTCCTGCAGTCAGCTGTGCTTTACGAAGTATATCTGAGCTGGAATTAATAATCCAGACGTCTGGCAAGATGAAACCAAGTCCCTTCCACTGTAAATCCCAGACCTGAGGGAAGCTCCAAAAGGATCCAAGCTATAAACTCCCGCCACATAATTCATTATTAAAGACACCAAGGTGTGAGGATTGCCAAGCCTAAAAAGGAAGGTTTTTCTATATATAGAATGGAAAAACTGCACAACTGCTCTGTACACTGCCAGGACACAGCTTGGTAGCCCGAGCCTCACAGAAACACAAACAGGGGCTAAACAAAGCATTTCTGTTGAGCAAACAAGCTCTAAATGACCACTAAAACTCACAGCATGGGCAGCACAGCTACTAGAGACAAAGCTCCCCAACAGACCGGCTCTCTCCTGCTCTACACAGCAGCTGAACTATCTCGTCACAGTTGAGCGAAAAAGAGACAACCTACACCTTGGACCAAACCCATTTTAACACAAATTGACAAAAGCAAAGCAGAGCAAGTCTAGATGAAAAGTTTGGTTCCACCTTTGACAATACAAACAGAGCAAGCACAGGTTTTCCTTTTGTCTGAGCTATTTCCAGCACAAAAACACGGCACAAGTTAAACAGCTCTGTAAAACTGAGAGTCCAAGCACATACACCAAACACTGCTCTGGTCAGACTGCGTTAGAAATGGAGAATGAGATTTCAAACTCGAATGTGTAAACTCTCATCTAATTTGCAGGATTCCAACAAAGAAAAAATCTCCTTTCCCCACCTACACCCAAACGCTGGTATGTCTTAACCCGATCTGCTTTTCACAGTCCTCCCCAAGAAAAGAGATTAAAAACGAAGAAAAGTACACTTAAACGAGCAAACGAGAGTGAGAACTGTCACCCAGCAAGGTGATGTTAGTCCAGGGTAACGCGACGATCTGTCCCCCAGGAGATCACTGCGGGATCTCTACCGCAGCCACCTTCTGCCACGGGAAGCATTTTATTTCCACCTTCCTGCAGCCAACAAAGAGAGACCGCCCCATTCTTCACAGAAGCTCAGGGACCCTCCAGCTCTACAGCACGGTAGGTCGTCTCGTACCCCCAGTGTCCGCCGGAGGGGCAGGTCGGGCCCGAGCCGGGTGAACGGCCACGGGCCTGCCCTTGCCGCCGAGGTCGGAGGATGCGGGCAGATCCCGGGATGGGCCCCGCCACCGCGGGTTGGAGCAGGCAGGCCTGGCCGGGGGCGGAAAGCCAGGTCGCCCCAGGGCAAGACCCCTCCTCTTCCCACCCCACGGAGGCACCAGCAGCTCCCCTGAGGAGGGACGGAGACCACTTGCCCCGGGAGCCCCCGGCCCCACGAGGGTCCTCCCCCACGCCGGTACTCACGGCGCTCCGCCGCGGCGATGCTGCCGAGCCCAGCCGCCCCGCCGGGCCGCTTCCGCTTCCGCCAGGAGGGGCCGCCGGGCCTCGCCAGGCGGGGCGGCGCCCCCTGCAGGCGGGGAGGAAGCGGCACCGAACGCCGCGGAGGGGCGGGCGAGGGTACCGCCTGCCGGCCGGGAGGACACACAGACACGGACAGACACACTACTCCACGCACGGGGGTCCGGTCACGCAAGCCCCCATACACGAGAATCCTTCAAAAATCAGCTTTCCCCTCCCCCCCCCCCCAAAAAAAAAAGCTAGCACTTCCACACTGACACGCTTCCCACAGCAAAAAAAAAAAAAAAAAAAAAAAATCCCAGCTACTAATAATGCGTGTTCAGTCCAGGGCACCCACAGGCTTCAGTGCAGTGAGCCCCCAGCCAAATGTTTCTATAATTTGATTTTCCCTTTGCAAAGCAAAGCCGCTTTTTATAAGGCAAAGTGCTTTCTGATCCACTGTAAATCTGAAAAAAAATAACATTGCTGCAGGTGCCTCCCCCTAAGTGCACGCATAAATAACAAGCCTTATGTCGCACACACACACACACACCTGATGCTGGTTTTCCCTCTCCCACACACTGCCAAGGGTACGTGGGGTTTGCTTTCCAAAATAAAGCACCCTGGCAACCATCACTACAGCTCACGCAGTCTCTGCAGCAGATTTGCAGCCCCAGGAGCTGGCAGAGGTTGGTAAATCCTTCACTCAGAGGTAGGCTGAGGCATGGAGCCCGTGTCTCTTGCCTACGTAGAGATTTGCCCAGAAAACCCGCTGTGAGAGCACGAGAAAGCGCCCCAAAACTGGGAGAGGTCGCCCCAAGCTGAGATGGAAGGTGAATTCTGCCAGTGCAGCAGCAGAACGCCCCTTGTGTGAGCTGCCCTGAGAGCCAGGGGTGGTCTTTTTGAATGAATCACCAAAATCAGTGCTGCCCTTTTTTAGTCATAATCGGCAAGGTTTTGGGGCACATAGTAATTACAATGGGAAGAGTTTAAAAAGGTTGGGGGGGTGGGGTCATGGGCACAGGATTTCCTAGATTTTTATCAGCCTCCCTTGGTTATGGCGAAAGCAGCTTGAGCAGCTCTCTGTGCCCTTGCAGGCCACCCCTTGGTAAAGGCACCGCGGCAAGAGGACGGGGGACAACACCACGGCAAAGCCCCCGTGGGATCAGGTGGAAGCGGGGCACCCTTGAGGGATCTGATATCCTGTGTGGTACAAAGTTGCCAAAGGGGGCTGAAAGCCACCGGCACCCGAAAGCCGCCAGAGCTCTGTGAAAGTACCTGACGCGCTCCCTCACCGAGGTCGCCGCCATCACGGCCAACACCTCAGGGCCCGGCACAGCGGCCGCACACACGGAGGCGACACACAAAATCCTGACGGTGGGTGCACCGGGCGGCGCCTGAAGCCGCCGAAGGGAGCGGCGGGACGCAGCGAATCCCTGCGGGAAGCCCTAGAGAAGGAGGGAACGGGCGCTCCCTCACCCTCCACTCTGCCGCCATCACCGCCCCCGCGCTGCGCGCAGGCGCAGTAACAACCCGTTCCCCCCCCCCCCCCTTCCTCGCGGCTGAGGGCGTGTGCGCAGGCGCGCGGGAGTGCGCGTGTGTCCGTCCCCCCACCCCGTCCCCTCACCCCCCGCCCCTCCTGGCGCCCCCGGGAGCGCGGCGGCGCGCGCGCCATGGCGGGCCCCAGCCTGCGGCCGCACGTGCACTGGGCGCAGCGGCACCGCGAGCTGTACCTGCGCGTGGAGCTGAGTGACGTGCAGGTAACGGGGCCGGTCACCCGTGGGTTTCGATATAGGGGTGGGGTGAACGGGCAGCGGGGGCGCCGCGCGTGGGTGCGCGAGCTGCCCGCCTTAACGCCGCTTTCTCCCGCTGCAGAACCCGGACGTCGCCATCACCGACAATGTGCTGCACTTCAGAGGTGAGGCGGGGGGGGTGTGTGTGTGTGTGTGTGTATGGGGGTGGTCTCCTGCAAAGTCACGGCTGCTCGCTGAGCCTGGCCCACGCGGGTGCGTGGGGCCCCCGGAGGAGGGACCCCGGGGTGCCCCCGGCCGTGGGGTGCCCGGTCCCCATCGCTGCCCTCGGTGACAGCGACCTATGTGCGGCTACGACATGACACGCATCCCCCTACAAACCCTTGTGCTCCAGCGATAGCAGGTTGTATCTTATCTAATATTTAAAAAAAAAAAAAAAACAACACAAAAACCAAACAAAAAACAAACCCTTCCCCCTATTTAAATATCAGTGAAATTTCCATATCGCTCTCCTGGCTCAAGTGAACCCCAGAAATAACTCGCAGCAATTTTTCCTTTCACAAAGACCTTGTTTGCAACTGTTATCAAACCTCTGCATCGGGAACTAGCGCTTGATTTGAAAGGTAAAGCAGATCCCTTCCTAAAAGATGGGGTTTTTGTTTTTCTTACTTTTTTTTTAGTCAGGCAGCTGCACGTTGCAGCACCGTGGAGGTTGTGCTGGTTGGCTTGTCCAGATGGTGCTCAGGATATGTTGTAGCTAGTTTTATTTGGTTGTTTGGTTGGTTTTTTTGGGGGGGGGGTTTTTTTTGGTTGGTTGGTTGGGGTTTTTTTTGGGGGGTGGGGGGGAGGTGTTGTTTTGTTTGTTGGGTTTTTTTTCTCTCATTTATTCGGTGGTTTTCTTTAAGACGCATTGTGTAGGAAATGCTGCCTCCCCGGTGAGCCACAGCCAGGGCCATTCGATAGGGTGTCGTTGCACATCGTGTTCACTTCAGGATCAGTTTACGGCGTGGAAGGGTGGAAATTAAACTCAGCAGGCCGGTGTATGGAGCCCTTCCGGGGACAAGACCCGCATACGCGGGAAATGAGGGATGAATGCATCTTCCCGCCATGGGGAGGGGACTCCCCACATCAGACCCACCAGAGACCCGTCTCCCTGTCGGTGTGGATCCCCCAAAGGCAGGGGATTTCCAGTTGGATTCAAGTTAGGTGTGAACAGCCCTTTGAGACCCTCTTTTTCGGAACCTTCCTGCGGGCGACGATCCTTTTCCAGCGCCGTACAGAGTTGCAGCGTCTTTAGCTGTCAACTCCACTGACAGCACCTCCGAGCAACATTTTGGGCTGTTTTGTGTCTTCCCTGTTCCTGTGTGGTTTCCTCTTGCCTCCCAGCAAGGCAGGGGGAAGCGCTGTAATTAACCACTGAATATTTCTATGTATAAAGCGTCCTTTGCAGGTGGGGTGGGCGGAACTGGCTGCGACCTTCATGCTGACTATTAATTCTTGTTTTTTAGCTCAGGGTCATGGTGCCAAAGGGGACAACATCTATGAATTTCAGATCGAGTTCCTAGAACCAGTTGAGCCTAAAGTAGGTATTTTGACTTTTCTAACTCTTGCAAAGAAAAAGTAATTTTTGAAAAACTTGAAAGGAAAATAGCTGCATGTGAAGTCCATAAAACACTGTTTAGATTTTCTCTATAACCACTGCAAACTCAAAGCTGTCTGTGGCAGTCCTCCATCCTGGTGCTCAGCCACCGTCCTGCCTTAATGCAAATCACCTCATCGTATGGGTCACTTTTAACAGAAACAGGGCCTTACATGTATCAGTTGTTAAGCAGTAGTTGTAAATTTTTTTAAGGATTTAAAAGCAGCAAAATAACGGGAGAATCTGGCAACGTGTTGCCTGATGCAACCTTGACTGGAGAGCAGGGGAACGCTGTGTTGCAAAGTGTCAGTGTGATGCTTCATGGCTTCTTTTGCAGCCCGACAAAAGAAGGTCATGAGAACTCATGCTTCTGGGTTGTGCAGATTTCTTAGGTTGCCAGTACAGATATGTTGTGGCTCCTGTTGTAAAAGGCTTTTCTTAATTCCCACTGCAGTCTGATAGGAAAGAGCTTGGCTGAAGAGCAGCCCCTCCGCGTTACCCGCCCGTGGCTGTAAAGTCTGTCTTTACCTCTTAAAGCTGTTAGGGGCACTGGAAGGCTCTGGCCTCTGCTCCCAGGGCAGGATTTGTGCTGCTCATTGCTGGCTGCCTGTTGGGGATAGCTGCACTCAGACTGGGAGCCACCGTTCGCCTCTGCTGCTTCAACAGGGAGGAGAGGGGACTGCCAGAGGGGGAATTTCTCAGGTCTGTCAGCAGGAAGGTATTGAGTGGCAGACAGCAAACAGCTCTTGGTTCCAGGATCTGGTCACCAGTTTGTCATCTTGCCTGTAAAGCAGTGTCTGTCTGGTCCACAGTGTGGGGAGAGGTGCCCACCACTGCCTGTGCTTGTCCTCCATGCTGGCAGGCACGGGCGGTGCTGGGTGCCAGGCAGGGAAGGCAAGCCTTTGCCTCTGCAGAGCAGCCTCCTTCCAAAAGTCTAGTCACTCTGAGTCACTGTGGGAGGACTGGAGGAGAACAGGCTCTGAAATGTGTGTAACCACAGGCGGTGGGGACCAGGAAGTGTTGCAGTCCAGGGTTTTCTCCTGTAGCTTTGACATGCACCATGAGTGGCTCTTGCTAGTGCTGGGCTGGCCACCAGTGAGAGATGGAGCCTCAGACAGGCAGGGACCAGTTACAGCTACAGCCTTCAAACATCCTAGGAGCATCCAGAGAGCCTTGACATAGCAGCGTTGGTGTAATGTGCTCGGTTAAAAATGCAGCTTATGGTGCTTCTGCATCAGTTTCAGGTGGTTTGAAAGGCAGTCCCATGCAGAGCAGCCTGGCGTCGGCTCGGGGTGCGGAGGGGTGCGACGGTGGCAGTAAGAGTGGGCACCCAAGGTGACAATGCTTTCAGCTGTAAGGATGGAGGGGTTCTGGGCTGCCATTAATCAGAGCGTGGCCATGGTGGAGAGGCCCTGTGGGGTGGCAATGAGCAGGTCCATCGGCTCATCATTGTTTCCAGGTGTTTGCCAAGGCTGCTAGCTCTTCCTTGCTGTGGCAGATGTCACATGAGGTCCCCTGTTTTGGAAAGGGACCTGTGGCTGATGGCAGTGTTATTTTTACCACTGGCTAGAGGAAGTAGGTGGCTCAGTACTAAATGCAAGAAAGTCTAAAGCCAAGATCATGGGTTCTGCCTAGGAAGGCTAGTGCTAGGGTCTGTGCTAGTGCTTTGCAGTGGGATGCAGTGGTGCTGTGCGGTACGGGCAGGCTTTCAAGCTGCTTGTCAAGTCCTACCAGCCATTACTTGCCATCTTCAGCTGGGCTGCCCTTTGCTTCCATGTCTTGGGTGGCAGAGAGATGCTTGTGCTGCAGCTGTCCATGTCATCCCTACCTCCTTGATATGGAGAGCTTGGGCATCAACTCAAGTCTCAGAGCTTGTTTCTTAGGACTTTTGCTGATGTGTGCTCCTGTGCCTGCCCTCAGCCTGTATGCAGGGTGACTCAAAGGCAGCTGAACATCACTGTGCAGAAAAAAGAGAGTAACTGGTGGGAGAGACTCACCAAGCAAGAGAAGCGCCCGCTCTTCCTAGCTCCTGACTTCGACCGCTGGTTGGATGAATCGGATGCTGAAATGGAGCTGAGGGAGAAGGTCAGTCCTGTGGGCATGTGTGGCTTGTGCTGCCAGCTCCAAAGCAAGGGTGGCTGTTCCCTTGCACAGGAACTTGTGTTCTTCATTTACCTGGAGGTGTCTGGCATGCTGATTGTTGCCGCTATTTCACACAGATCCCCCGTAGAATTGGTTAAACAGTTCAAATTGTAAACAGGAGTTCAGAAACGGGCACACTTCTGGCTAGCAAGAGCACCAACTCAAATCTGAACTGGTGGCTGTGCGCTCGCTCGGCACTGGCCTGGGTTTGCAGCTGAAGGCTTCTACCCTTTGCCCTACGCCTTCACAGCCCTGTGTCCCAATCCATAGAGATCATATCAGTGTGCCATATGGAGCCCAGAGGTGCCTGTCCCAGGAATTGCTTGTCTGAAGAGCAGGGTTTTCTGAGGCTTTCCTGAGCCTCTGGGCTGGCCCTGACTGCGTTCCCACCATCTGGTAAACTCGAGCAGCTTTCTGCAGCAGGGAGGTGCAAGACCATCTTGGAAAAGACTTGAACAGACCACGTTTCTGCAAATCTGCTTTACAACAAATGCTGCCCTGTCCCCTCCACAGCCACTGAGCATAGCACAGAGGAGAAAGGGCGGCTGCAATGCCACGAGCCAGAAAGCAGTGGTGAAGGGCAGGCAGAGAGCCCCAGCTGGATGTTCCCAGTTCCCTTCAGGTCACTGGTGGGTCATGAAATGTTTTAAGGAACAGCTCTAAGTAAGAGTAATAACTGAGAATTAACACAGAAAACAGCAGGCTTTTTCAGCAAAAGCATCTAATTACTAGTGAAGGCAGGATAACTAGTTAACACCCTCTGGCTTTTACTGCACCATAATTTCTGGATGATGAATGTGCTGGTTTATGCAGGTGAAAATTTAAACCCCCTAGCAACTGGCTCCTTAACTGAGTTTTAAACCCACTAGTTTTGCAGTAATATAGTTAACAAGTCACTTGCTAATTACAGTAACAGTCTTTAAAACCTTATCCTTCATCTTAAGGAAGAAGAAAAGATTAACAAAATGAAAATAGAATCCAGAATCCCGAAGGACCGTAAGTAACCGTACCTTTTTAGTGTGTAAGGTGGGCTTCAGAAAGCTTCTGTCACTCTCATATGCGAAACCTCAACACTGCAGAGAGCAATTTTGACTGGCTTGGTGCATCTTGGAGGGGGATCTTCGTATTGTGAGCTGTTTAGACATTTATTAAAAATGGACTGCAGTTCCCAAGGAATTTTAGAAATCTGACTAACAAGAATTGAGTTCTAGCAGATGATGCCAAAAGCAGACAGAACCCACAGTGCACACAGCAACCTTTTTATCGCAGTCAATAGCTTCCCTTTTTTTTTTTTTTTTGAAAGCTTTATTCTCGTAGAAAGCCTGGTTTGCAGCTATACTCTTTGCAGAAGTTTTACCATTGTACTCTGCTTGCCTAATGTGTTTATTATTGATTTTAGCTTTCAAACACCTGAAGAAGGGATACTTAATCATGTATAATCTCGTACAGTTTTTGGGGTTCTCTTGGATTTTTGTGAACATGACAGTACGACTATTCATCTTGGGAAAAGGCAAGTAACAAGCACTATTTTATTTACACTGGGGATTTTGGTTTGCCTTTTTAGTGTTGCTTTTAATATTTTCTAAATAGTGAAATCTAAAGGAAGACCTTCTTAGGAAACAAAACTGTAAACTCTTCACCAAAGCACAACAAAAGCCTCCCAAAAGCACATCACAGTGTCAAGGATAGGAAAACACTGTCCCCTTGTAAATCACAACTACATATTCTGATGAATGATACTTGTACTCTGCCAAGATTACTTCTAAAGAAATCAGTTGGAGCAAAATGTCTCACTCGCTGCAATGTTAGTATTTTTGAAAATGAGCTAGGCAGAATATTTTGTTTTTGAAGCAAGAACAATTCATACTATTGAGGTACAGCGCTGTTGCTTTTTTTATGAAGTAATTACTGACATAGCTCCTTCTCTTTATGAAAAGAGCACTTGAGCAGTGTTTCTGGCCTAACTGCTGTGACTTCAAGATAAGGCCTATAAAGAAGTTACATAATTATGCATAATGTTTTTTTCAAATACAACTAGAATCCTGTTATCAAAAGCTATGCTGCTGCACCAGCTTCCTGAACAAGAAAATTCATTTGTCCTCTAAAATGGTTTCCTGTGTCTTACAGATTCCTTCTACGATACATTTCACACTATTGGTGACATGATGTATTTCTGTCAGACCCTGGCATTAATGGAGACCATGAATTCACTGATAGGACTAGTCAAATCACCACTGATACCTGCTGTAACGCAGGTAATATTTTAGGATTCTTCTCCCTTCTCTCCCCATGTTTAAAGTAAATCTCTATTTTACACAAGTGTTGAGACTCTCCTAAAATAAGTGATATAACCTCCTTGGCACTGGACTAGAGAATGTATTATTCAAGAGGCAGGAATCCATGCTTCCCAGTCTTAGCTGTGGCAGGCTGTCTTCTTCTATCACCTAGGTAAGATACTCCAGGACAACAAAAGCAAGAAGTGGCTGATGAAAAGTACATGATTTTGATTTGGTGCCAGTGCCATTTTTATCCTGGTTGTGGTGGTTGTGCATAGAAATGAGGACAGATGGTTTAAGACTAGGTCCCTTGAATTGCACCTACATACAGAGCAATATGCGTGCTAATAAGCAGCGGGTCACAGCTCAGCAGACACTTCAGGTGAAGAGTTGATTTCTTGCTACCACAACCATACAAGATCATGCTCTTTCTTTTGATGAAAAATGTGACTGTTCCTCAATTTGTTTTTCTTAAATAGATATTTGGAAGAAACTTTATTTTGTTTGTTGTCATCGGGAGCTTAGAAGAAATGCAGAGCAAACCTGTGGTGTTCTTCATATTTTATTTCTGGAGTATCATTGAGCTGTTCAGGTTTGTGGGATTTGTCTTCTGGCAGGTGTGTACAGAACAGTGTGGTGGTTCCCAAGAACTCCTTAAAGAAGATTTTGATCTTTGTGCCTTTTGGAAGATTGGCACTAGTGCATTGACCCCAGAGAGTAAAATCTCCTTTAGACATGACTGTCATAGCCTTCCTAGGTTGCTCCATCTGCCAAAAGCTGGGGCAAGGCTGGAGTCTGAAAATAATACTGCCCTGAACCTAGGGAAACCTGTTGCTTTTTTTCTTGAGGGTTGTTGCTTTGAAATTTCATTGTTACATGAGTCGCACTATGCTCTGTTTCTCATTCAAAAGAAGTACTTTGAAAGATTTATTAGGCAAGCCAGGTGGCTACATTCATCCATGTGGTCAGAGTAATAGCATTAGTTCTCTAAACTGTGAAATAAGGGTGTGCCCATCATGATCCATAAGAAAATTTTTCAAATATTCTTGTGTCATTTGGGAATTATGTTGAGTATACCACATATGTATGCAAGACTAAGCTGCCATTTTAAACTGTTTCTTCTCACACTGAATTGGCTTTAGGTATCCATATTACATGCTTTCATGCATTGGTATTCAATGGAAACCACTAACCTGGCTCCGTTACAGTGCCTGGATCCCTCTCTACCCCTTAGGAGGCTTGGCAGAAGGTATGTCCAAAAAAGACAGTTTAATAAATAATGAGTTCAAGGCTGGGCAAATACTTTTTTTTTTTTTTTTTGGCTGCTGGACTTAAAAATGGTAGAGTAGAACAACAAATAAATAGGCATTTGCTTTTTGCTGAACCAGATGTTAACATTTTGGTCTTTCTTACTGAATCAAACATTTTTTTTCAGTTGGATGTGAAAAGTAGTCTCCCTTTTGGGCACTGGAAAGTAAAGGCAACAAAAGCTTACCCAAACGAAGTGTCCAAGTGTGTGCTGCAGTCCATGTGGGCAGCACAAGATGCCAATGCTCACTTCCCTCTGCTGATCCGAAGCAGTGTATTTGCTTTTGTCTGCTGGACCTGACTTGGGCAGCCTAGCTCGGGTTCACACCAGCTCACAGATCTTGATGTTATCTTGTAAATCACCGCACAGGGCAGCCAGGGGCCGATTCTTCCTCTGAAAGCGACAGCCTGTTCTGAGATAGGCATGGTGCTTGCCAGACAGGGCTCTGCTCCCTTTCTGCTTGGAGGGTGATGGCTCTGAGGAAGAAACAGGCACCCAGTCTTCTTGCTGTACCCCCTCTAGAGTGGGGGCTTTATGGTGTAAACTTCTGTCTTAACAGGTCTGGATTATTTTTAATTTTTATTTATGTAAGAAGCGTATCACCACTCAGCTTCTAGCTGTAAGAAATGTGTTGTAATTGTACCTGTCAGAACCTGTTTTCTGTGAGGCAGGAGTAGGTGTAGGCATTGCTTAGCTCCAAGCACAGGAAAGACTATGCCTGTTTCATTGCTGTGGGTATTTCTACATGGTGTAAATACTGCTGGCACAGGCTACAACTGCCTGTGAGAACAGTGTGTCACCAGGCAAGTTCATAGACTTTCCTAGCGGAGCTGCTCTACTGCCTTAGCTAGCTGCTTTCCATCACAGTGCATGTTAAAAAAACAACAGCTTTAAAATTAGTATAGTCAATCAGAGCTAGCAAATAAGGGAATATCCTGGAAAAAGTTGATGTGGGCTGGGCAATTGGGTATTTTATCTGTATTTGATAATGATGGTGGCCTTCTGCTTTCAGCCGTCTGTATCGTTCAATCCATTCCAATCTTCAGTGAAACAGGGAAATTTAGTCTGGGATTGCCAAATCCACTGAACGTCACAATCCAGTTTTCATTTTTGCTTCAAATATACCTTATAGGCTTGTTTTTAGGTAAGACAATTGTATTTCTCACTATTGATATAAAAAGTCCAGTTTCTTCTGAATGTTTTTTGAAGAAAATAGAATTCCTGCATCCTGGGGATCATGACAGCACAAAATTGATTGAGGTTAAGCATTATCCTTGTTGCTTATGTAACTTTTTCAGGGACACAGGGAAACACACATACACTTAGCACTGGTTAGCCCCCCTAAGAAGACGACCTTGGCAACAAGTTAGCAGGATTATCTATTGATCACTTGGGTTAGAAGAATAATTTTTACATGTATTTATAACCTCAGTATACTTAGTTTCACCTTTTACGTGGTATTTGAGCTTTGCAATGATTTAGTGGAAAACTAAACATAATTTCATATTAAAGCAATGTTTAACTAAACTGCATTATAATCACTAATGCAACATGAAGTCAGTTTTTCCAGGAACCAGTATAGAAGGCTCTTTAAATAGTAGTATATTTAAAGAAGAATGGTGCTTGATATGTATTTGGTTTCTGGTGTTAGATTTGTAAACGTAAGTTAACTTCCTAGTATACAAACCTAGTACGTCTAGGTACCCACAGCTCGGTAGAATCTAACCTAGAATTTTAAACTGAACTTCCACTAGATTTCTCCCTTTCACAGACATTCCTTAAAGAATACCTTTAACCGAGTTTCACTCTGAAATACCTGTTCTGTCATTCTGCAGTTTTGCACAGCCGGTGTTGCAACTTTTTAAAAGTGACAAACAAACCTTCTGAGCAGCCCGGTACCAAAAAGTCCGTACAGCAACTCCTGCCTCACCCAGCAAAAAAAACTTGCATTAGCTTTCAGTGCTATATACTCCCTTAAATCATCACTTTTTTGTGTGGTTGGTTGGTTGGTTGGTCTTTGTTGTTTTGGTTTTTTGTTAAATTTGTTACAGCCATCTAGCCTTAAAAAGATGCAGTGATGTCCTACCTGAACATTTCATTCTTTTTTAGGGGTATTTCTAAACTTCCGTCATCTGTACAAACAAAGGAAACAGCACCTCGGACCAAAGAAGAGAAAGATGAAGTAAAGGAGGACTGCAATGCTTTCTTATCTGACTTATCTCAATGATAATATAAGCCTCTAATTCTTACGGTTTTACCCACTGTAATGTAAAGAATTTTGTAAAATTAAATGATCACGCTAAATTTCATGATTTCATAGTGAATTCAGGTAACATTCCCATATACTGTATTTTGTTCCCTTTCAATCATATATGCATGACATTTACCACTGAACGGTAACATTTAAACTTGTATCCTGTCAGCTACCCTATTAGGAAGAAATCCTGTTATCTGCATATAATATGCTTATAAACAGTGGAGCAGCACTAAATAGAAATAGTGTTTATCTTTTAATTGGGTATTTGCTCTTTCAATATTGCATGCAGATAGGGCTTCTGATGTTGGGATATATTATTCGCTGGCCCATGCTGTTCCTAGGGTGCATTTAGATGGCAGGAGAAGCACAATCTGAGACCACTGTGAACAGTGATTGGGTGTTCATTAACGGTTAAGGTAAACTTGCTCAGCACCTAACACACACACACCCCTTTTTAATTAAAACTGGAAGTTGCTAATGTTGATTTAAATGCTACCAACTTAGTCTGTTTCTAGTTTAGTCGTAACAGAGTAGGAGCGCTGTGTGATCTTAGCATTCCTGTAGCAACACATCCTTATTGAGTCATTAGGGAAAGGAAGCTGCCGCTCTGTGACATGGTCAGAGACATATTCCTGACTGGTAACGCAAGCACTGAAACATAACAAAACACAGAAACATGGGTACCAACCAGTTTTCTCCTAGCATGTGAACAAGCCCCAGCAGAACTCCATCCCACCCATGCAAAGGGAAAAACTGTCATGGGAGACTGAAGCTCCTCTGATCATTCCTGGCAGGGCTATAGCTCCCGGATTTATAGCCTTGAGAAAGGGAGTAAAGATTGCCCTTCTACTTAAACTCAGGGGTACAGCTGAGAGAATTTGGTATATATGCTTTGTTGGCTGGTGGGATGGAGTAGTGAGTCAAATAAACCATGTATTATTTTGATAGCACGTATCAAATCTCAGTAAGGGAGGTCCCACACAGGGTTTGAAGGGACCCTCTCCTCTGCTTGCTTTAAACAACAGCAGCAACAACACCACCACAAACCAAGACGCTCCTCTCTACATTCTAGGTCATCTACTCTCTCACCTGGAAACCTTTGTTTCAGTTGACTTAATTTCAACATGCTCTTCTTCGCACCTAGCCTCATGTAGTTAATTCCAGATCCCTCTGGTCTCCTTAATCCAGTTTGGAAAATGTACAAGAAGTTTGCTCTAACCGTTTAGTGGTTATGAACAGGTTGCTTTACAACTGCCACTGCCCCCAGGGCAACGCAAAGCAATGCCAGCACTCCAGAACTGGCACTGAAGTTGAGATCAGCTTAGTGCCATGTTACTATTTAGCTGCTTTTACTGTAAAACAGTATGAATCCTCCAGAAAATTATTTTCTATATTAAAGGTAACAAACAGCTTACTGCTTGTGATATGGACCCAGTGATTGTTACTGTAAAGTAAAGGAAATGGGAGATTTTAACAAAGAACTGGTATAAACTCCAGGCTGCATTTCACAAATTGTGTTCTCTCAATAAGAGGCGTAATACAACTTCTCTTTAGGGATACTTGAGACTCCCACTCAGCTTACTTCTCTCAGGAGAATTAAGCATGATTTACACAATATTTCACTTAGCCCACATTGTACCTATGTTTGAAGTATGTCAAAGGATTGAGTTAGCTGAGTAATGGAACAGCAAGGATCACTTTCATACTTTAATTCCTCCTCTGGGCATTTAAACTTCTGTTTTGAAATCTGTATGTATTCATACAATGTATTTCTCAGTGAAATTGTGGTACCTAGTGCAAGCTGTCATGGGTCTTACACTACTGAATTTTAGTCCTTCAGAAAGAATGTGTTTCTATTAATAAAGATTTACAACCAAATTTTGCTTTAGTTCAGTTGTCTGTTCTTTCCCTGATGGCAAGAAGCTGTATGATTTCTTATTTAACTCTTGTGCTAAACAGCTGGGAGCCAGGCCTTCAACAGGTCAATTCACACAGCCTAGTTGCTATGAAAATGGAACAAATCCAATTTAAATTTTCATGAAGAATTACTCTTTATTAATATTACACAAGTAAAAAACTTGTCTCACAAGATTAAGTTACTTTCACAAGCATAAGCACTGCGATGCAAGTGATCACTCATTCTGGCAGTACAGACTGGCTTTCAAGTCTGGCATAAAATGAATGACAACACCCTGGAATTAGCTGCGCATCTGACCTCGCACAGTGATTCTCACACATGTTTTCTTTGGACTAATCAGGTTGGTGCATACAGTAGCTGCCTTTTAGGATACTTTTACCAGTGAGTTCAGTTACGTAGTAACTGCATTCTGGGAATACCATAAGTCAGAGCAGTGTGATGCCTACGATGGCATTTTCTTTCTCTCCTCACATGTATTAACTTCCACCCTGCATCCAACACAGCAATTGACTTTGGGACACTTTCCACAGTTTCCAGGTCTGACTAAAGCCACCACAAACTAGATACATTTATTTAGAGAGCACTGATGCAGGTAAGGGACTTACCATTTGGATGGGAAGCTCTCCAAACACTAATTAAACAGGCCCTAGAGAGTAAACAGGATGAGAATATTTGAACCACTTGAGTCCTAATCTATAGAAGTTCCCAAAATGGAGACTTCACATTCTTTCAGTGCTGCTACTGGAAAAGTCTGTCTGCAGTGGAGCAATGTTATGATCATAGGCAGCATACTCCGATGCTCCGGTACTTGCCACTTTTAGCTGCTGAGCAGCATGTGTAAGCTGAAACGCTGCATCAGGATGAGCCGTGTCAGGAAGCAAGGTGCACTCCCGCTCCAGCATGTCTGCCACGCCTTTCAAGAGGTCCAAAAAGCCAAAGGCCAGAGCTGCCTTTCGTAAACGGTTAAGTTCCTGAAAAGAAGGAAAACCCCTTTTAAAGCCACTGTAAGCCTTTACATAAAATGTGGGTTTCTTCTTTTTTTAAATTCAAGCTAATTCACTTAGCAGAAAACAACCGGAGTGATCACTACAGCTTGCTGGAAACTGCCCAGCTGCTCAAGAGATAAAAAAAATGTTTCAGGGCTGAAGATACTAGCGGCACAGCTAAAGAGCCGGTTTTCCCTTGATCCCTTCCTATAAGTCTATACTTCTTCCTTTTCCCTTTTGCACATTCAGCTATTGTACCTGCCTGTTCTGTTTGTGTCCCAGCTGGGGGTGGCCTCCAACTGAGGCTTCATAGACTGCTGCCTTTAACCAGTGTCCAGTAAAATGTACATATATTGATTTTTCTCACTATAAACTGACGAGTGCTTATGTGCATTTAGGCAGGGTATTCATTCTTGAAATCTCTGGGGCTACAATAACAAACTGTTTCAGCACTAGGCTTACAAGAGGAACAACAATTACCTCCAGTTACAGTCTAGATTACGGATTATTACGATGTGGCCAAATGTGCCTGGAATTCTGTCTTTCTTTGCTTTAGTTGTAGAAAAAAATGTAGGAGATGTTTTCAGCCTCAGAATGACACTGTTCCTATTCCTCTCTGATCTCTCAGTTTATTTCTGCCTGGACAACACCATAAAATCTGTAAAGAGGTTCACCATAGAAGTAGCAGGGATCACGAGGGGCACCTGTAAACATGACACATCTATGCCACCCTGCCAGAGAACGTGGTGGCAGGGAAACCAGATTCCCTTGCCTCACCTTAACTAGCCTGTAAAATGGACCCAGGATGTCTCTTGCTTTACAGAACCATGTATCTTTTTGCAGAGCCCTACAAGCCCGCACAGAACACACCACAGACAGTATGTGCTCCTCTGTCAAATGCACCACTATCACTATGGATCAAACTTTGGCTGGCCTGAAATGTTACTCACTTTATAGAAGGTTTGAGTTTTTTCAGGGAGTTTTCTTGCATTTCTCAAGATCTTCTGTACATCTGTCTGCAGGAAAGAAAATTAAAAACCCCATTAAAGCCATAAATCTTGGCAACTGCTGGGGAAGCTGCAGAAAAAATCAACTATTTATTGACAAATTTTCAAAAATCCTCAAAAAAATTATAATTTAAAAATTTGTTTTAGAAATATATTAAAAAAATGATGAATTATAAAAATCCTCAAAATAAAGCCATAAAAAAAACATAAAGCCATAAATCTTGGCAACTGCTGGGGAAGCTGCAGAAAAAATCTTCAACTATTTATTGATAAATTATCCTGACCACTGACAATATTGCAGCTCACAAAGGCTGAAACATAAATGGTAATTATACTAAATCCAATAAACTAGGCCAGATGCTACACTAGAGGCACAGCTTTCATTAAACAAGCTATGCTTTCTGATTGCATTTTAATCATGACATTTTAAAGAGGCAGTGTTTATAAAAACGAAAGGGAAGTAATAAAGCAATTACATTAAATAAACAAGACACACACACAGACTCCACTTTGCTGACAAGATGGCTACTGCTGATCAAAGTAAAGCATCAAGTCCAAAACCCGTATCTTTACCTGGAGGCCACTTGGTTTAATCCATACAGTAACATTCTGTGCGTAACTGCGCTTGTTCTTGGGTTGCAAGGGGAAAGGGCTCTTATTGTCATCCTCTCCATAAGGATTTTCTTTTGCATCTGGGAGAAGAAAATAAACAGACTTAAAACCGAAGATTTTCCAAGGTCATTCACACAACACTGAATATGTTAAGAGTTATTCAAATGAGCATGACCAGTACCTGAAATGGGTCCAAGCTGTGCCATCTTCCCTAGCCATGGAAGGGGCTCAGGACCAGGTTCAAAGAGTGACATCATGAGGTTTGATTTCTTCTTGCTATCAGCTTGTGAATAGAGCATACCATACCACTCTGGCCTATGGAAAAGAGCAAATCAAAAGGCTGAAAATCTTCCACCCCTCTTTGCCTGGAATTTGCCTCCATCCTACTGTGTGTAGGCTCACTATCTGCAATTTATACTGGCAGAAACATATCCACCATTAAAAATCCACAGCTTTGTCTAGCAGTGCAGAGTTCTGTACAGGATACAGATATAAATAAGCATAATTTATAAATAAAGCATAAACGAGCAAAGTAAGAGATTTTTCAGGCAGACATCCAGCTCCATACCCCAACTGGACGACAGCCACCATGCCTTCCACTTTCAGGCTGCCATGTAATAAGACACAGAAGTTGGGGATTTTCCCGGCAATCTGATTAGCTGAATTCTCATCCTCAGTGTCATCTGTGATTCCAGGTCCCACCTCATCACCTTCTGGGGAAGAATAAAAGCAAACCAAGAGACAACATAAGAATAAATTCAAAGACACTAGTTCCATTTCCCTGACACCACCCTGTATTTTCTGCCATGCAAGAGTTAATTAATACTTTTGTAGAATGAACAGCTGCTGAATGAACTCTTTGGGCAAAGTGGCACTCTAATGCTATATAAATATTTCACTGTATCCTACTCACAAAACAGAGATACCAAAAACCTGCAAATAAAACCTAAGCTTTGAAGAAACTAGAATTGTAATGAAATGGCACCAAGAGTCTGGCAACAAATACATGTCTGCTTCTGAACCAAAAGCATCCTGAATTTCAAGTCCTCCTCTCCTATGTAATTTGTGCGCATTATGAGAAACTTACTCTGTTTTAGCAGCTGGAATACAGCTGTGATTCAACTGTTAATATCTTCTAGGGTGAAAGGCCTAGCAGGATAAGAGTGTTAATGCAGAGATGAAGGCATATCTGGAGCTTTCGTTCTTTACCAAGAGTAAACTCACTTTCTCTTTGCTCCACTCCAAGACCATGACAAAAGGAAAGGGGAAGTCTATCTTATCCCAGGCTGGTGCACTCAAACAGCTGCAAGTCAGTAAAATGCTTAACCATCCTTGAAGCTTAACACCAGTCATACGTATAGATACATATATATTAGGCCCCAATGAGCAGCAATTAATGCTCAAGTACAACTGAGCGATCTAGTTGTGATTAAGATCAGATTTTTCACAACAATAAATCATTCCAAGAACCAATTAGATATGCAAGCATTAAATATTTATCTTGCACCACATATTTCATGGCCCGTAACTATTTTTAGCTTTAAGTTTAGGATGTTCTACTAATAATGATGCTATAGAGACACTGTTCCCTCTATTAATTTTCTAAAGAAGACAGTATTCAAAAAAAGAAAGAGCTTGTGTTCAAGTTTTTAATTTTAATGCAACCACACAAGCATGTATTTAGAGACATCTGGCATTTTGATAAAGCATAAAACCTATGCTTCTAGTCCAAACCACCACAGACATTACAAAGGAAGCTTAAAGCAGTTTTTGCTAAAAGAAACAAAACTTGCTCACCTCTGTTAAGTGCAATGGGCAGTACCAAGTGCCTGGACAAGACAGGAGGGCTGGAAATGTCAGCTATATCTACAAAACCAACAATTTCTAGATCTGTGGGGAGACAACAGGTTTAAGTCAGATTTGGAAATAGCTGAACTGTATTGAGTCAATTTAACATTACCATTTCTTACACAACTAAGTTTTCTGAAGCGGTGACTAGAGGTAGCACAATAGGAGCCCCAACCTTGACTGGGGTGTCTAGGTGTTAATAAGGTACAAACATTCATACGTAATACCAAGACATTCTAAGACGAGAACATAACTTTCATCACAGACATACTGCTGTCTGTGAACTGTGCTGCTAGATAAATACAGAATTGTGCACATTGTTTTTTACACCGTACACAGTCCGTTGCCATCTTATAAATCCAAAAGGAGAGAAAACAAAGGACTAAACCAAATCTACTAGCTTCACACTGGCACCACAAAACCTGCAGGAATTCCCATCAACTCTCTGGCAGGGTTAGCCCCAATGTGGTGTGTTCCCAGGACTGGGAAGACTGAGTTGTAGTTCTT